AAAAAAAAAAAAGAAAGGACAATCAACAGAGTGAACTGTAAAAAGATCACTGGCTGCAGTATGGACCCCAGACCAGTTTGGAGGCATTTCATTAATCTAGGTGACAGGTTGGACTCAGGTATATAAAGGTCCAGTTTAGATACAAACTATTAAAAACATCTGGAAAACGGGAAGGAACGTTGTTAATTTAAGCCTGTTTTTTGTTACAATACATAATTTAGCAATTGTCAAACACATTCTAAAAAAATCTGCTTACATAAATTCTAGGAGGTAGATATTATCTCAACTTTGCAAATGAGAAAAGCAGAGGCAGAGATACATCAAATAGTTTTTTCATGGTAAAACAGACAAAAAGAAGCAGATTTGAATCTAAGCATTCTCATTCAGGAATCCATAATTTTAATTATGTTATGCTTTAATACTGCCAACCAATGTTACTTCTAAAATTAAAAATCAGCTTATAAAATCATATGCCAAGCTATTCTTAAGTAGAGTGATGACCTTATGGGAACTTCTTTTATGCTGCTTGTATAGTATGTGCTATTCAAATTATCATATACATATGCATATAAATATGGATATATATTCACATACATATCTATTATCACACAAAACATAAAATAGTAATTACATGGTAGTAATAGCAATTACATGCCCAGAGATCTGTCAACCTTGATAGAGAAGAATCACAGACACAGCTTTACATTTTACAGAAATACAGAAAACAGAAAAACATGCCTGCATATATTTAGTGATGAGTTGTATCACACTCTAGGCTAGATACTTAGGATAAAAAGACATTAGTTGCTAAGAAGAAGATCAAATATCTCATGCCTAAATCATAAAAACAAATTTTTTTTTTAGTCTTCTTAAAGAAAACAATGGATAAGCCAGGTGTGGCATGCCTATAATTCCAGCAGCTTGGGAGGCTAAGGCAGGAGGATTACAAGTTCAAAGTCAGCCTCAGCAACTTAGTGGAGACCCTGTCTCAAAAAAAAAAAAAAAAAA